CGCCGGGACCTGCTCCCTCTCCCGTGGGAGGGAGGACTCTCGGCATTCCCGGGACGGCCAGAGGAGATCGCCGCAGGGCGCGCGCTGTCCCTCCCACGCCGGCTCCGGAGGAGACCCCCAGAAGTCGGGAAGGGTCGTGGGACCTGGAGGACCCGGAGTGAGACCGCCCCCACTCCTCAGCGCACTCCAGACAGTTCGGGACTTTGGAGGCAAAGAGAAAAGGGAGCCATGTCTGTGGAGTAGGCACCCAGCACTCACCGCCGAGAGGCGTCCTGACACGCACAAGCCAGGACCCTCCAGGGAACCCGCGGCAATCGGCTCCAGCTTGCTGGAGAGTGGAAGACCTCGTCCCTCAACTTCCGTGCGCCTCAACAGTGGACCCGGGCAGAGCCCCTCCGCTCAGATCTCCAGCAGACAGAAAGAGCCCTCAACCCCTGGAAGATCCAGTTTGGGGGGAGGGGGGTTCCCCCAAAGGGGAGGAGACAACTCCTGGCTGGGAGAGGCTCCTCCCCTCCTCCCTAGGGTAGCAGGCAGGGTGTGGGGGGTGTGCCACCTTCCCCAGGTAGGTCCTCCCTCTCCCCCTCCTCCTCCTTCGGCTCCTCTTCCTCGGGGGACTCAGTTCCCCGCTCCGGCTAGGGAGGCTCCGCCAGGCACTGCAAGAGTCACAGAGGATGAGACCTGTCACCTGCCTGTGAAGAGGGGAATCCCTGCAACCTCAAACTTCTGTAGCAGGTGGTTTCCTCCTGTGGCTGGGGGAACCTTAGAGGCAGGTTAGTGCTTTCGTGCATTTTCTCTCTGTGGTCTTTAGGCACCAGTAGGTACGGGGAGCTGAAATGGTGGATCTTGGGGTTCATTCCTGTGGAAGGTAGCGTCCCCTGGGAAATGTGTTCAGATGGCGCTTCTGCATTGGAAGCCGCATGTTGTTGCAGAGACTCAGAGAAACGGGCTTTTTAGATTTCGGAGACCAAAGGGATGGGTCATTTGCTGTCCCTAAGAGAAGTGGATGCTCTGTACTGAGAACAGACAACAGGTGCGTTTTTTCTGGACGCCATGGTTACTGTTAGTAATGCAGGACACAGCACAGCCAGAATCCCACAGCACACTCCATCCCTGGGTCTTGTCCTCTGGTGAGTGGACCTGCTGGAAAGTGATGGGGGCACCTTGTGTCTTGTCTAGGGCATGCTCTAAGTCAGCAGAGCATGCCTAAGTCAGTGTAATGGCCAGCAGAGGTCTTCCTTCCAGTCTAGCACAGTGACTATTTGCCTGACTGTCAATCTGTCCCCACCCACTCTCTCTATCTTGGATACCAGGAGGCCCTTCTGACATCCCTGCTTCAGGCTGGATTTCTGCCATCCAAAGGGAAACGGGAATCCACATGCCCTGAGGTGAGAAAAAACTGACTAGGGTAGTGCACACTGGTGGGCTGAAGTCTTCCCAGATACTGGTCGTGTCATTAGCTGACAGTTCCTCAGAAAAATCAGATTGTGGCTAGGAGGCAGAGTGTTTCCTAGGTTCCCTCCACACCTCATCTGCATGAGTTGACCACCAGGGAGGTCTGACCTCTGCAGAATTCTTTTTAGACTTTCCTTCCAGGAAAACATCGACTGGTCTCTTAATCACTCTTCCTGTTCTCTTGCTTAGTTCTGGGTCACAGGAACTTCGTGGTGAAAATTTTCATCCTAATCTTGGGGAATCATCAAAAATCTAGAATCTTTAGAAAAAGCAGGACAAAAGGCACCAAGAAATTTTCCTGGTTGAGCCTAGGCTGTATCTGTAGCAGAGCTCTGAGTTTTCACACGTGGTCACTACCTGCACGCCTTCTCTCTGGTCTGGTCGTTGGACCATGCCTCGTGTTCTGTATGGGGCTTCCTCCCCTTGGATTTTCAGTGTCAGCCTCCCTAGATGGGCTGTGGGCAGACTGCCGGAGTCTCTGTTGGTCCATTGGATCCTGGAGGTTTCTGTAGTGGTGGTGTGTCAAAAAACGGAGTTGTAGTCCACAGGTCCGATGGCTGTGCTGTAGAATGATGTACACGGCTCTCAATGGAGATGGAGATTGTTAGGTGTCTGTGTTTTGAGCATGTACATGGAGATGTTTCCAGAGTGTGCTCTCTGATCCCTTAGAGTCATTTCTGGCAGGCATGTAGAAGCAGGTCACCCTCTGCAAGGACCTAGAAGACGTGAGGGTGCAGATGACCAGCTGCCAGGAAAGCTTAGTGGTCCCCTCCACCGCCAGTGGGAATTCTCATGGCCCCCTCCTGGCAATCATATCTGGCAGCAGGACAGCCCTTTCACAGGTTGGGTCTGTTTCTCTCGGGACTAGTAGGAGAGCTTCATCATGGATACCTCCAGTGCCACTTTACTTTTGTGTCTAGAATTGCCTCTCCCACTTTTGAAAAAGAGATGTCTCTGGTGTAGCAGTGTTTCTTTTTCTTTTCTTTTTTTCTTTTTGGATTTTTTGAGACAGGGTTTCACTGTGGCTTTGGAGCCTATCCTGGCACTCGTTCTGGAGACCAGGCTGGCCTCAAACTCACAGAGATCTGCCTGTCTCTGCCTCCCGAGTGCTGGGATTAAAGGCGTGCGCCACCAATACTGGAGTGCAACTTCTGGATGGCTCTGTGTGAACTGTCCTGTAAGTGCTCCAGGCGGACCACTCATTCAGCTGGCTCTGTTGGGACAGGAATCCTTTCGGGGCTGGTCGGATTAACTATGATTTGGAGTGTTCTATTTCCTGGACTGTATCTTATGACTGCATCTAAATCCCCTTGAAAGACAGGTGATGATATTCCCTCCACCCCTTCATCCTTGGAGGTTTCTCCATCTTCCATTAATCAATACTGGGTTGATACAAACTGGAAGGAAACATTTGAAATGCAGACATCCTGACAGCCTGCAGATTTGTTTATTTAGACTTTGCAACATGACCACTGTACCTTTGATGTTTCTAATGCTATAATGTTTGACATTCTCTTTTCTTTGTTTTAAAGACTTACTGTGTATTTTATGTATAGAAGTATTTCCTCTGCATGCATGCACACCAGAGAAAGAAATCATCCCATGAGGCTACAGTTACAGATAGATGTGAGTCACCATGTCAGGCCTTCTGGAAAAGCAGCCACTGTTCTTAACTATTGAGCCATCTCTCCAGCCCCTCGTGTTCTCTTCATGAAAACACTTCGGTGCTTGGTGCTGACCTTCGGGCTGCACATGCATGATAAACACTCTGAGCCACACATACAGCCTACTAATCTTTTTTTTCTTCTTCATTCAAAAACAAACATTCACTTACTAAGTGTCTCAGGCATATTAAGAAATATTAGATAAACTCTTGTAGGAATAGTAACCCTGAATCTTTATTTAAAATAATTTTAACCTGGGCAGTGGTGGTGCATGCCTTTAAGCCCAGCACTGGAGGCAGAGGCAGGCGGATCTCTGAGTTTGAGGACATTCTGGTCTACAGAGTGAGTTCCAGGAAATCTGTGTAGCCAGTGTAGCTAGGGCTACCCAGAGAAACCCTGTCCTGAGAAACAACAATTTTTTTTACTTTTTAGGTGTGTGTGTGTGTGTGTGTGTGTGTGTGTGTGTGTGTGTGTGATATGCACATGCCACAGTGTACAAGTGGAGGCTTGAAGTTGCTTTTCTCCTACCATCTATGTATGGGTGGCTGGCCGTGAGCTTAGTAGGCAGCTCAGGCTGGCTCAAACTCATGGCAACCCTCCATCTTCAACCTTCCAGAATGTTAGGTGTACAAGCCTGAGTCACTATATCTAACTTTTTAGAATTTTTCTTTTATTTTACAGAGCTAGAAATTAAGATACAGACAAGCTAAATGACTTGTCTATCAGAGCTGGACTTGAATGCCAGGCAGCATGGCTATCACGAGATACATTCCACCGCTACCCTGTTAGCTTTGGCATTATGTATAGCTCAGGAAGTTATCCTTCCTGGATACCTGACTTGGGTTCCACGTGGAGAACAGTTTGGGTGAGATGGGCAGTAAACAGTGCAACTTCTTGTGGCTCCTACAGGTCCAGTTCCTCCGTTCATTCCCCAGGAAGACTTTCTGTTTGCCTTTGTTTTGTTTTCTGCCTTTCCCCAGCACTGTAGTCTTTGTTAGCTGTCCCGTGGATGTGATGGAGTCTGCCCTTTGGCTGCCTTTCCCAGATTCTGTGTGTATTTCCTTTCAGTCTTCCAGCATGCCGAGAGAATGTGGCCTGACTCAGGTTCTGCCTAAGCCCGGTGGCACGAGGCCCACCTGGAGAGAGGTCTGGGTAACTAGGTTGGCTGGCCTGAGAAATGGAGCCACCTCTTGTTTGCTTTTCTAATAATAGCCCTGGACATTAGCCTTGTGCCATTATTTTGGGGAGTGTGGAATGTGTGGCAGCTACGAGCCCATTAGCTTCATTCCTGTCCCTCCAGGGATGAAGCCTTGGTTGGGGCTATGACTTCATTTCTTTTACTGGAGGGGGAAACTGAGGCATCAAGACTTCCTCAGGGAGTGAGGGATGGCTGGGGCACTTAGTGAGTCAGTGTTGGGTTTGGGAATAGGACAGAAGCCCAGTCAGTCTCCACTGCCCTTTGCAGTGGGCAAGTAGGGAGTAAGGACTTGGGGTGCTGGGAGACAGACTGGGGAGGACCAGGCCCTGGGAGCTCTGTAGAGTTTATGCTGGAATGTATCCTGAGACCTGATGTTTGCATGTGGAGGCAGGGTAGTAGAGAAAGGTGTCTAACCTCAGGGTTCCACTCTGGGCAAGGGAGAGAAGGGCACAGGGCAGCTAGAAAGACGCGGGGGGGGGGGAGTGTTTCCCTTTCAGGAATCCCTAGTGGCTAGCACCTGTCAAATGGGCTCTGTAAGCCTCTGCACACTTCAAATCCACCCTCATGCTCCAGGTTGCCATTGAGAGCATTTCAGAAGAAATAACTGAAAATTTCTGGCTCTATAGATGAGATTTCCTGGGTTATTTAGCAGGAGATAATAGGGGCTAGGGACTGATGCACTATAGACCCAGGGAAGCTGATGCAGGAGGATTGCTTGAGTCCAGGGGTTTCAGACTATCATGGAAAACAGACTCAACACACACACACACACACACACACACACACACACACACCCTTCCCCTAGTTGAGAAGGGCAGTGGCTGAGTGGCTGATTGACTAGGGAACAGGGTAATATCTTTCTAGGGATAAACTTGGTCCTTGAGAATTTGCTAATTGGCCTGTCACTGTTGATCTTGTGAACCCAGCTATGGAACAGACCCTGCCTGAGCTCTCTGCTGTAGTCCAGAGGCTGGGATGTTTTGACACAGCAAAAGGCTAGAAGGTGTGTGGCTTCCAGGTGTGATGACATGTTCCTATTGTTTTCCAAGTTCCCAAGGTTTGGGGCAAGGTGGTGGGTGATGAAAGGGTTGTTGCTGGCGAGAGAGCTAAGGCTGAACAGGAAGGCTTTCTTGATACAAGTTCCAAACATAGCCCCATTGTTTTTCTCTGCTCAAACAACTCTTGGGGTGCAGTTAGGTCTCTTTGCTGCCTAGACCCCCCCCCCATGCACAGATGTTCTCTTCAGCCCTGTGGACTAGGTGTGTTGTTGGTTGGGAACACTGGGTCAGGTACGTGTGAATACAGGCTGATTTCAAGGGTGGGACCTGGTCAGGAGGGGAGTGAGCGGGAATTCTGACCTGTAGGGGAAAGCGCAAGTGTCTATGGCAAAACTACAGTTTAGGCAGAGAGAGAGAGAGAGAGAGAGAGAGAGAGAGAGAGAGAGAGAGTCTGTCTGTCTGTCTCTCTATGTGGGGGGGCTCAGGGAAAGGTATGGGTGTGTTGGGGTTAAGACAGAGGGTAGGGGTCCTGCTTGAGACAGTTTGGGCTTGCCAAGCCTGAGTCTGTGCATGCTTACCTGTGTTTGGTCTGGTTGTGCTCCTTTTCGGCTATGGATTGAGGCAGACATCACCCTCAGAACAGGGTTCTCTTCAACGTCCTAAGTTCTGAGGGGTAGCCTTGACTCGTGCAGAGCACCGTCCTGCTGCGACTGAGCAAGACATGCTAGCTGGAATCTGGCAGCTGTGCAGGCACAGACCTGTCAGACAGTAAGTGCTTAGGGGCTCGCTGGCTTCAGCTCCAAGGAAGTGCCAAATGGCCACGTAGAGGTTCCTGTCAGCTTCCCTAGACCCTGCAATCCAGCTACTATCCCCCTATTCTTCACCTTCCTCCACCAACATGTCACTAGCTACAACTCCCTGGTGGCGACAGCCTAGGCGGTTTGGTTGGCGGCAGGGCCGGCAAACATCAGGCGTGGGCGGAATCGTAGCTCTAGGAGTTTGCATGGAGGTGCAGCCAGTCTGCGTGCCTGGCTGGGAAGGAAGGAGGGAGGAGAAGGGCGGGGAAGGGGAGCCAGCTCTTAGCCCCACGGAGGCTATTTTTAGCCAGGCTATCTGATTGTTACCGGTGTGCACACAGCTGGGTGTCTCCCTGGCTCGGTGAAGCCCAGCAGGCCTGGGAGGTGGGAGGGCCTTGCTGATGATGACTTCTTCCTGGTGCTGGTGTCTGTGGGCGGAGCCTGCCAGGGGGAGCTTTCAAGGTGTGAGGGTAGCTGTGGACTCAGTAGCTGCTTCGTCTGTGTGACTTTGTTTGGGTAATGTATGCCCTGTGTATGTTGTGATCTAAGGTGTGCGCCACTGTCCCCGTGCCAGTCTTGTATCCTGTTGCTGCTGGTTGTCATCATTTGGGTTATTTATTCATTTATTGTGGTGCTGGAGACCGAACCCAGGCTCTCAAGCAAGTGCTCCACACTGAGCCAGCCACACCTTCAGCCCTCCTCTTTTCAAACTTATTTTTTTAAGTCATTTTATTGTTTATGGATGAGTGTTTTGCATACATGTATGTATGTGTATCGTGTGTGTGTGTGTGTGTGTGTGTGTGTGTGTGTGCGCGCGCGCGCGCGCGCGCGCGCCTCATGTTCTAGGAGGCGAGAAGAGGGTGTTGGATTCTCTGGAATTGGCGTTTGTAGATGGTTGTCAGCATTGGGAATGAAACCCAAATCTTCTACAAGAGCAACAAGTGCTCTGAACTGAGGAGCTATCTCTTGCCCTTCTCTCTTTTACTTTTTATTTTGAGACAGGCTTTCACTGAATTGCCTAGGCTGCCTATGGACTCACTGTGTACCCAAGCAGGCCTTGAACTTGTGATTCTGTTGCCTCAGCCTCTGGAGCAGTTGAGGTGTCCCTCGACCAGCTCAGCTGTTAGATCCTGCACTTGGAATATGTCTAATCTGCCTCGTGTTAGCCATGTCTGTAGCGAAAGGCTGAGTGTGCTCATTTAGTAAGAAACATCTTTAAGAGTGTTGACGTGTGCTTCATTGTTGTATGCTTGTGTTGCTCAAACTGTCTTTATATGTGCTATTGTGTCATGTAATTGGAGAATAGACTTCAGCTAATTTTACCTGCTAAGTGAGGTTGATTTTTTTTTTTTTAAGATTTTATTTATTTATTATGTATCCAGTCTTCTGCCTGCATGCCAGTAGAGGGCACCAGATCTCATTCAAGGTGGTTGTGAGCCACCTTGTGGTTGCTGGGAATTGAACTCAGGACCTCTGGAAGAACAGTCAGTGCTCTTAACCGCTGAGCCCTCTCTCCAGCCCAGTGGGGTTGATTTTTTTTTTTAAAAACTTATATTGAATTTAAAAATATTGTGTTGTGGGGCTGTAAGGAGAATTGAGTTTAGTTTTTGTGGGGTGTGATATCTGATCCTACATGAAGGGAGAGGCCTTGTGGTCACGCTCTCCATTAAGATATGGGGTGTGAAGCAACCGGTCATCCTGTGGGTAACTGGTGGCACTTGCACTTGGAATCATGGGTCAGCTCAGGAGAGGGTTCTCCAGTGGGAACTAAAATGGGAACAAGCTACTTGTCTTATACATTGGACATAGAGTTGTTCTTAGCCCAGTAAATGGGAAACTCATCTGCCTTCCTCCCCACTTTGTCCTCTCCTCTGCAGAACCCAGAAGTACGATGGCCTCCGACCTCGAGAGCAGCCTCACCTCCATAGACTGGCTGCCCCAGCTGACTCTCCGAGCTACTATTGAGAAGCTTGGGAGTGCTTCTCAGGCTGGACCTCCAGGGGGCAGCCGAAAGTGTTCCCCAGGCTCTCCCACGGATCCTAATGCCACCCTCAGCAAAGATGAGGCAGCAGTCCACCAAGATGGCAAGCCACGGTACAGCTACGCCACCCTCATCACTTATGCCATCAACTCTTCTCCAGCCAAGAAGATGACCCTCAGTGAGATTTACCGATGGATCTGCGATAACTTCCCCTATTACAAGAATGCTGGCATTGGTTGGAAGGTGAGGCTGTTTCTTTTTCTTTTCTTTCCTTTTTTTTTTTTTTTTTTTGGTTTTTCGAGACAGGGTTTTCTCTGGCTTTGGAGGCCGTCCTGGAACTAGCTCTTGTAGGCCACGCTGGTCTCGAACTCACATAGATCCGCCTGCCTCTGCCTCCCGAATGCTGGGATTAAAGGCTTGCGCCACCACCGCCGGGCTGTTTCTATAGCAACTTTCTCTACTTTTGTTTCTTTCTATAACCTGGTCTGGTTCATTCTGACTTGTCTCAGGAATATATAAATTCAAGGTCTCTTTATCATCTACCCCTACTTTTATTTTCTTTAGCATTAATCAACTTCATAAACTTTTATCATGGAAACACTAGTAATGCCAAGCCATTAAGTGTAGTTATTAAGTGTAGTTATGGGATAGCAGGATGGTGCTGATTACCACACCCTCTTATTGTCTGGTTCCCCCAAATGGGCAGGTTTTTGTTTGTTTGTTTTTGTTTTTTTCAAGACTTTGTTTCTCTGTGGCTCATTTCATGACTTTCTTTTTTAAAGATTTATTTATTATGTACAGTGTTCTGCCTGCATGTATGTCTGCAGGTCAGAAGAGGGCACCAGATATCATTACAAATGAGTGTGAGCTACCATGTGGTTGCTGGGAATTGAACTCAGGACCTTTGGAAGAGCAGGCAGTGCTCTTAACCACTGAGCCATCTCTCCAGCCCCTGATTTCCTGTCTTTCTTGTCATTCTGCTATGTTCAAGTCATTGAACAAGGCAAGGCATGACTCCTACTTTGATAGGAAACTCTAAATTTCTATAGCTTCCTTGTTGTGATCTTTTGAAACATTGTATATACTAAGAAAAAAGAATAACCAGGTCCTTTGCCAATAGCTGGTTCACTTAAGCAAGCAAGGTGGTCCTCAGACAAAGATAATGGAAATCCTCTTTGTTTTTTTGTTTTAAAAGAGTTTATTTATTATGTATACAACATTCTGCTTCCATGTATATCTGCACACCAGAAGAGGCACCAGATCTCATTATAGATGGCTGTGAGCCACCGTGTGGTTGCTGGGAATTGAACTCAGGACCTCTGGAAGAGCAGTCAGTGCTCTTAACCTCTGAGCCATCTCTCCAGCCCTGGAAATCCTCTTTGATGAGGAGGAAGACAGTTGATATTTAACTATATAGTCTCTAGCCAGGCTTAGTCACATACACCTTTAATCCTAGCACTTTGGAAGCATAGATGGGTGGATCTGAGTTCAAGGCCAGCCTGGTCTACATAGCAAGTTCCGGTCCAGACAGGGCTACATAATGAAACCCTCCCCCAACCAAAAAAGAAAAAGATGGAGGAGGAGGATGAGTAAGAAGCAGAAGAAGGCAAACAACAACAACAAAATGCCCAAAGATTTATTTATTTTGTGACAATGTCTCATGTGGCTCAGGCTGGCCTGGCCTGGAACTCACAATGCCACTGAAGCTGACTGATCCTCCTGTCTTGACCTCCCGATATTGGGCTGACAGGCATGTACCTCTATTGTTTGTAATCATTTGCAGCAGCAACTCTTTTTGCCAATTGTTGGGTAGGAGAGGGACTTAAATGTAGTTTTCTCACTCTATAAATCACCAGTTGACTTACAAGCCAGCTGATGAATTGAGGCTGTTGGAAGAATTCAATCTTCTCTTGGTAAATGTGTCCCCTCTAGGCTACAGCTCTCAACATGCCAACATGTACGTACTATGGCTGTTCTTTTCTCTCGATGTGGTCATTCTGAGTGCTACTAAGGAAATGAAGCTGACCTGTGCTTTTGTTTGACTCCTGAGTTGTTTTTTTTTAAAAGACTTTGTGTGTGTGTGTGTGTGTGTGTGTGTGTGTGTGTAATTCTGTGTGTTAGTGAGGGTATAAGAGTGATGTAGTTTTGTGTGCCACAGTACATCTGGAGGTCAGAAGAGAAACCTTGGGTGTTGGTCCTTGCCTTTTAACTTGTCTGAGACAGGGTCACTTTGTTGTTAACCTGTGTGTAACAGGTCCATGGCCTGTGAACTTGTGGGTGCTGTCTCTGCCTCCCATCTGCTGTAGGACAACACCGGGTTCCCAGTATGTAACCCTGGTATTACAGAACACACTTCTGCTCCTGGCTTTATGTCGGTTCTGGGATTCCATCAGTCCACACACTTGGGAGCTTCCTTACTGAGCCATCTCACCATGATATATAATATATCAGAAAAATACTGCTTTTGATTTTCATAGAGAATTGAGAAGTGAGGTAGATATGAATTTGAGGTGTTTATTTGTTGGTGTGTGTGTATGTGTGTTTTACGTTTACGAAGTGTGTGCAAGTATGAGTACGTGTGGTTATGGACGTTAGAAAACAGCCTGGGGTATGGGCTGCATCTTCCTCCTGGTTTCAGGCAGGGTCCCTATCATTTGTTGCTTTTGCCAGACTGGCTAGTGTTCCAGGGCTCCTTTTTTTGGCATTTATTTGTTTGTTTTCAAGACAGGGTTTCTCTGTATAACCCTGGCTATCCTGGAACTCACTCTGTAAACCAGGCTGGCCTTGAACTCAGAAATCTGCCTGCCTTTGCCTCCCCTTCCTGAACACGGGGACTAAAGGCGTGAGCCACCACCTGCCTGGCGTCTTCCAGGGATTCTTATGTCTCCACATCTATTCCCAAAACCTCTGGGATTGTAGGTATGTTTGGCTATACCTAGTTAATGTGAATTGGGAGATTTGAATTTAGGTAACTTTGATCTCTTGCTTGGGTGCCACACTCTATTCACTGAACCATCTCCCCAGGTCCTAATTAAAATTCAATATTATTGTGTGTTGTTGTGCACAGTGTACTTGTGTGTGCACACATGTGGAGGTCAGAGGACAACTTTGTAGAGTTGATTCTCTCCCTTCCATCTGCACGTGGGCTTCAGGGATCAGGTCCCTCAGGGTTGTGGGGCAAGTACTTTTTTTTTTTTTTTTTGCCCCTGAACCACCATCTCATCAGCCCATCAGCACCGCTCCTCCCATGGTCTTACCATGTAGCTTTGGTTGCTCTCATTGGAACTCACTGGGTAAACCAGAGTGGTCTCAAACTCACTGGCCTCTTCCTGTGAATTGGGTTTATTAAAGACATGCCCCTGCTCCTGGCTCAGTTTTTGAGAGGTGGTCTTTTCATGCAGTCCTGGTTGCCCTAGAACTCATATGACTGTAGACCAGGCTGGCTTCCAACTTGTGGCCACTCTACTGCTCATGTCTCCCGAGTGCTGGGCTTACAGGTGTGGCTATTTTTGTTGTTCATTTTTGAGACAGGGTCTTACCATGTAACTCTGGCTGCCCTGGGACTCACTGTCACCAGGCTAGCCTTGACCTCAGCGCCTGGCTTGAGGCATTTTGGTAGGAAGGCTAAAAAAACTACAAAATTAACTTTCAGGAGCACCTGGTCGCCATCACCTCTCACCAGCTAACTTTGGTGATTCCCCTGTGCCTCCCTTCTGTGTAAAGCTCCCTCCAGCAACACAGTGAAGAGGTGCTGAATATGCCCCGGAACTTTATCCTATGTTCTTCCGTGTTGCTGTGGAAAATACTGTGGTTTGCTCAATGCTCAGATCTAACTTGCTTCTTTGCTTCCCCAGAATTCCATACGACACAACCTTTCTCTTAACAAGTGCTTCCGGAAGGTGCCCAGACCTCGAGATGACCCCGGGAAGGTGAGAAGCTGGGGAATCAGAGGCAGAGGGAAGGAGAATGAAGTTGTTGACACTCACAGAGTCCTGTAATGTTCTTACTACCTAGAAGAGGGAACCATGCTAATTTTAAGAGCATCGCTGTTTTCCTCGAAGGAAAAAAGGTGGTTGCCAAGCTTCGTGCTCCTCAATGGAACAGTGACTAAGAAAGAGGAGGAAATTGTCTTGTTTTTAATAGGGATGTTTATGTGAGATGATTGTGAGGCTCCCTCCCTCCCCTCCTCACTCATTCCTTTCTTCTTCCTTTCTTCCTATGTGTTGAGACACAGTCTTACTATGTAGGCCTGGAACTTAATATGTAGACCTGGCTAGCCCTCAACTCAGAGATCTGAGTGATGGGGTTAAAGGCATGTGCCAAGATGGGCATGGTGTTGCACACTGTTAATCTCAGCCCTCGGGAGGTAGAGACAGGTGGATGTCTGTGAGTGTAGGCCAGTCTGGTCTACATAGAGAGTTCCAGGACAGCCAGGACCTTATAGAGAGACTCTGTCTTAACAAAAACCAAACAATATAAATAACAAACAAAACCAACAAAAAAAATAACAAAGGCATGGACCATTATATTCAGTCTCTTTGGAGATAGTCTCACTCTGTAGTCCAGGCTGGTGAGGCCCTTTTCTTTTGGGTGGCACTTGTTCCTACACATAAAATGCTGGCTTAGTCACTTTTTTTTTTTTTTGAGACAAGGTCTTACTGTGCAGCCCAGGCTGGCCTTGAATTTGACATCTTTCTGCCTCAGTCCCTCCTGAGTGCTGGGATTATACCAACATACCCAGTGCCAACATACCCAGCTTGTTTACTAACCTTTTGGAGGCTTTTCATTTCTCTCTCTCTCTCTCTCTCTCTCTCTCTCTCTCTCTGGTTTCCAGAGACAGGGTCCTGGACCCACTCTGTAGACCAGGCTGGCCTCATACTCACAGGGATCCACCAGCCTCTGCCTCCTGAGCACTGAAATTAAAGGCATGTGCTACCACTGCCTGGCTTGGAGGCTTTTCTATGCAAAGTCTTCAGTTTACCTTCCAAAGGGAGGAAGGGGATGGGTGGGAGGGCATTCTCCCCATTTGACAGATGCTAAAGTCCATAAGTACTGCTTGGTGACCTTTGAAGATGGATTCATTCCTCAGTAGTTCTCAGCTCCCTCGGGATTCTGTCTGGATGTCCAGCCCTGCTTCTTTGCTTTCTTCTCCTTCCTTTGCCTTTTTGCCCTGTCTTGCTCGATCTCACTTCCTCCTTCCTCTCTTCTGTTCTGTACTGGGGAATCCAATATGAGGCGGTGCCCAGTTACATTCCCCAGCCCCGCCCCATTTCCAGCACGACTGCTGTAAGAAACTCTTTCTGAGTACCTGTTTCCAACAGGAACTTCTATAGGTAATGCTTTTCCTCTTGGTGGGGGTTGGTTCTCCTTCTAGGGCTCTTACTGGACAATTGACACCTGCCCTGACATTTCCCGGAAGAGAAAACACCCTCCAGATGATGATGTAAGTTCTCTCCATTTGGGACATCCCTTTCTTGCATTTTAGTCATTTCTGTGGTGAATGTGGGTTAACACCAGCAAAGGGGAGACAAAAGATTGGGCCTCAGTGGGTGTTTCACCCCTGCATATAGCTTTTTCTTCTTTCATAATTCTCAGCTATCCCAAGACTCTCCGGAACAGGAGGTCAGCAAAAGCCCCCGGGGAGGTGTCGCAGGGAGTGGAGAAACCTCGCTGCCTCATGAGGGGAACCCTCAGATGTCACTGCAGAGCCCCTCCTCCATGGCCAGCTACAGCCAGGTAGGAAGCAGGAGCTATGGGCACAGGGCCATTGATGGGTGGTTGGGTACTGCCCTGTTCACGGGAACATGTTAAGGACCTGTGATAGCTAGGCCGATAGATTGGCAAAGAAGGAAAAAGCAAAACAGGGAAACCCCAGGCAGAAGGAAGGAGAGGGGAGACAAAGGGATGGCAGAATTTTGAGCAAATCAGGAAAAGAAGTGGTGAGAAGAGCAAGAGCCAAGAAAGCTACAGTGGGATGGAGAGACAAGGAGGACCCCAAGGAAGGGTCATAGAGCCAGGAAAGCTACAGCCTGGATAGAGAGACAAGGAGGACCCCAAGGAAGGGTCATAGAGCCAGGAAAGCTACAGTGGGACAGAGAGATAAGGAGGACCCCAGGGAAGGGTCATAGAGAAGGAATGGGTAGTGACAGTAAAGAGACCAGTCTCAAAACATGACCTAACCAGAACAGGAAGAGCAGGTGATGCCAGGTCATTGGTCAGCTGGAGAGGGTGACAAGGACAGGCCTGAGAGCCTGATGGCCTTTGGAGGGTTGTACTGCTCCAGAAGGGACTTAGGTCACTGTCCTTACCTGTTTTTGTAGGGCCCAGGGTCTGTGGATGGTGGAGCAGTGGCAGCAGGGGCTCCCGGCCGAGAAAGCACAGAGGGTGCCCCTCCCCTCTACAACACCAACCATGACTTCAAATTCTCCTACTCAGAGATCAACTTCCAGGACCTAAGCTGGTCCTTCCGCAACCTCTACAAGTCCATGCTGGAGAGGTCCTCCTCCTCACAGCACGGTGAGTCTGCCGTGATGACAACAATGGCTCTATGGCATCCTTACAGTTTCTTTTCTTTCTTTCCTTTTTTCTTTGACACAAGGTCTCTCTATGTAGCCCTGGCTGGTCTGGAACTGGCTATGTAGGGTAGGCTGGCCTCAAACTCACAGAGATCTGCTTGCCTCTGTCTCCTGAGGTCTGGGATTAAAGGCTCCTTATATTGTCAAATAATGGTAACATCCTCTTCTCTTGCGGTTTCCTGTCGTTTGGTTGTTTGAAATTACATTTTGTGTGTGCGTGCATGCATGTGAGCATGTGTGTTTGTGTGTGCACTGCACATGCTGTGGCACACGTGGTCAGAAGACAACTCTCACAGAGATCTGCCTCCCAAGTGCTAGGATGAAAGGTGTGCGCCACCACCGCCTGGCTTCTTGTTTTAATATATGAAATTGGTCACTGGTCAGAGGAAACATAAGGGCTAAACTGTTTGGTGCCAGACAGCTGATTCAGGAGCCCACTGGCCCCATTATCTCCAGAGAATGAATTGGAAGATCAACCAAAGGCAGCAATTTCCCCCACACCCCGTACCCCAATACTGGGGACTGACCCAGGGTCCTGTGTGTATTAGGTAGCACTCTGTGCCTGCCACACCCTCTAGTTCTGGGCTGTGAGCAAGTCATTTCAGAGTCTGACCACTAGGGGACAGTGGTAGCACCCTCATCCCAAGCATCTTTACGCTTTATTATAAGTAACTTACTTTTTTAGTTAGTAAGTTAGATTGAGACAAAATGGCAGATATCCCAGGCTGGCCTTGAGCTTGAGACAGTGCAGCCAAGGATGGCTTTGAACTTCTGATCCTGCTTCTCTCACCTGAGTGCTGGGATTTCATGTGTGCTCCCTGCTGGGATTACATGCATGCTAGGATTATACCTGGTTTATGTGGTAGGCAGGGAGTCAGGGCTCAGTGCAATCAGGGCAAGCACTGAGCTACGACTGAGGCTGCCCGCTGAACCTCACCGCCAGCTCCTAGTGCTTTATATTATTATTTCCTTGGAGATAGGGTCTCACTATGTAGGTTCTCTCTCCTGAACCTCACTCTGTAGACCACCCTGGCCTTGGACTCAAGGAGATCCCCCTGCTTCTGCCTCCTGAGTGCTGGGATTAAAGCTAGTGTGTTTTTTATTTGTTATTTTTTATTTGTAAAATATTTTGAACAGATACCAAAGTAGAGTGGATAAATAGCAAACCCCTGGTTTCCATCACTTAATTTTGTTAAGCTTATTTTATTTGCCATTTGTTTCAAAGTGGAAATAGTTGTGTGAATTTCCCAGATCAGATCATTCCCTATAAATTCAGTTTCAATATGCATCACTAAGTGATGAGAGCCTCTCCTTTACTTTTTCGCCACACCGTTCCGGTTCCCAACACAATTAGAACACGCTGCTCCCTCAACGGCAGCTGATATCTTGCCTGTTTGCAAATTTCCACAATTAAGGGAGAAGCAGTTAAAGTCCTTCTTGGGTGGCCTCCTGAGAGATGGTGTGGCTTCGGTGGCCAGCAATGATTATATCTGCACAGTATTCTGGTTTGCTTTCTGTTGCTGTGGTAAAGCCCATGGCTGAAGGATAGATAACTTGAGAGGAGAGCAGGCAGGAACTGAAGCAGAGGCTGTGGAGGAATGCCTCTTATTGACTACTCCCCATGGCTTGCTCAGCCTGCTTTCTTTCCTTTTCTTCTTGGGACAGGGTTTCCTTATGCAGCCCTGGCTGTCTTAGAACTTACTATGTAGATCAGGCTGGCCTGGAACTCAAAGAGATCTGCCAACCTTCACCTCTTGAGTGCTAGGATTAAAGGTGTATGCCATCATGCCCAACTTCAGCCTGCTTCTTAACCACCTGCCCAGGGATGGCACCTCCCAGAGGTCAGGGCCCTCCCACTTCAATCATCAGTCAATAAAATGATCCACAGATATGCCTACAAGCCTACAGCCCAATCTGATGGAGGCATTTATAATGACCCACAGATATGCCTGCATGCCCAATCTGATGGAGGCATTTTCTCAATTGATGTTCTTTCTTTCCAGATGTCCCTAACTCGTGTAAAGTTGACAAAAAAAGCAAACACACACACACACACACACACACACACACACACACACGGATGCCCACACAGAGGAAGAATGGGAGTCCCAAGAGGACAGCTTTGCATCTGGCTCCCCATCCCCATCTTCAGTCTCAATGAAGAGAGAAAGTCACCCTCCAGCCCAAAGATTTCAGCTCCTTAAACAAATTGTCGTGTCACTTATAAGACTCTGGAGAAAAGTCAGGGTTCTAGAACTGGTGGCCTGTCAGAAGGGAGGAATTGGGTAGGACACCTAACCTCATTTAAAAACTGAGCTTTTCGGGGCATAGTCGTAATGACAGAAACCCAAAACGAGTTAAAAGAAAGATATATGTGAGTTTTTGCATGTATGTGTGTTTGCATTCGAATGTTCAAATGTGTGTGTGCATCTGTTTGTGTGAATGTGTATGCCTGTCAAAGTCTGAGGTCAATATCAGCTATTTTCTTTAGCTGTTTTCCACCCTATGTACTGAACGAAGGGCTTGCTCATTAGATAAGTTAGTTAGTCACCTTGCTTTGGAACCCCACTCTCTCTGCCTCCTGAGTACTGGGGTTACAGGGGCTGTACACCCACCCAACATTTACATGGGTGCTGGGGATCTGAACCCTGCTTCTCACAGTTGTAGAGCAAGCATTAGCCACCTGAACCATCTTTCCAGCCCCGTTCATATAGTCTTAAAAAGGAAGTTAGAAGTATTGGCAGGGCTGAGAATTCAAGTGAGGTGTCAGGCCTTCTCATCTGCTTGGAAGCCCTTTGTAGGCAGCATGGGTAGACAGAATGATGAGGGGCACAGGGCCCCCAGTCACATTAACTCTTGTGTCTGCCATCCCAGCAGAGAGAAAACGTGAACATTGCTCGAGCGCCCTTCAGAACTTGCTGATTTGTCACCAGTGTCTCTCCCTGCTCCTTCTTCTTCCCACGCCTCCTCTGCTGTCTTCCTTTCCTGTCCCTTCTGTCCTTTCTCTTTTCTTAACAAGATCTCTGTAGACCAGGCTGGCCTCAAACTCAGATATCCGCCTGTCTCTGCCTCCTGAGTGCTGGGATTAAAGGCGTGTGCCACCACCGCCCAGCCGGAAAACAAAATTTAAGAAAAATACCTCAATGTTTTAAGAAACTTACTGATTTGGAGAGATGGTTTAGTGGTTGAGAGTTTATGGTTTTGTGCTGGTTGTAGTTAGTCATAGCTGCCCTAAACTGCCTTTGACCTTGGACCTTCAGGCTGGACACACCTCCAAGTTAGCTCTTCCTTGCCCAGTTGGCTTGAGAGATCAATCAGTCCATACGCTGCCTCCCACCCAAGCTGCATTTCCTGGTAGTGTATACAAGAAGGCAGAAGAGTAGAGGATTGTAGAGACAATCGGTGGAGCAAACCATGCTTGCTTGATAGCTTTGTTTTAGTTATAATTTGTAAATTTCACCTGCTGTGTGACTTCCTTTGAAACTGATTCCAGCCCTATATCTAAATCTCCTAAAAGTAGCATGAAAGGTCACCAATGAGGTTTTTAAGAATTTTTACTAACATTTCTGTGGTGACCAGTGGGTCAAAGCTTTCCCCTAACCTAACTGCTTTTCCCGTCTGCTATCTACTAAGAGGGGCACAGGGTCCTTGCGGTCACAGGGTATGCTCTTGTCCTTTAACTCTTCTGCCCAAGCTCTCTCGTCCTGAGAAGATGTCCTTTAGTGACACTGTGCATCTCAAATC